GTACCATAATTAAATATTAGTCACTCTTTAGAAACCAGACTCCAAATGTATGAGGTTTATTCAACCTTGTGTATTTTAATATCTTTGTAATGTTGAATGGTGTCTGTCACAGTCCCATTTGTGGGGATCCCAGGAGCCCTATGTTTCTCCTCGCTGTACTGCCACTAACCTGAAGGAACAGACAGATTGCCCCAAAGATTACTCCCTCTCTCAGCCCCTCATATCTTCTGCCCTTGTACCTGGATTCTGCACCTGCAGTGAGGGATCTCTGCCAGGCCTGAGTGCTCCCCACTATAGGGTTATGGAAGAAATTATAAGTCTCCCTTTTCATGGAAAGTGGAGCCTGGAAAATCACTATTCCAGAAGTCACTCCTTACAGAGATAGCCAGTAGGGAGACAAATAGCAAAGGTTTTATTCAATATGATGAAAGAATTAGGCAGACAAGATAGACTATAGGTTTGGAGCCAGAAAACAGGACAAACACAGAGTCTTATCCTCCTATCTGGCTACCCCTAACCTCCCATGAGAGTCCTTGCCAAAGACCTAGAATTCAGGCTTCCTGCTGATTCTACCAGTCCTGGCAACCGGGGCCAGTGATCCCCTGCCCCACAAACCTCAGACAAATGTTCTAGCCTAGCTGGGATCTAAAAATCTTGCAAGCCAACCCTTCACCCACCCCCCACAATTAGCAGCATTCTAATGCTCATGAGTCACCAGATTCTTCCTGAAATCCCTGGTGTGCCCAAGGTACCTGGTGTCTAGCTTGCTTGATAGGTCACTACTCCCAGATGCCTTTGCTATTGTAGATAGAGTTGATTGCTCAGCTGTAGGTGGACAATGCCAAAGGGGGGCCAAACCACCAGTGGATCCTTCTTTCTGCTATTAAAAGAAGCAATTGTCCTGCTCCTAGAACACAATGGCAGAAGTTGTGGCATCACGTAGCAGTTCCAACCATTCCCTGAGATCCTTGGCTAAGCCATACCCAAAACTATAAAGATATACATAGGCAACATAACATAATCCATGCTGTGATAATAATAGCATAAATGGATACAGCATACATGAGCTTTCTAATGAGACCACACATGCCATATCAGTACAAGAACAACACAGGAAAACAATTACGACATACTGTGACCTCCAGAACATAACAGGGTGCATCATAGTGTCTACTAAAAATTGCAAATTATTGTCTAGATTATTGTGAATATAACCCACAAATGGAAACCCATAATTCAAGGAAGCACCCCTATGCTAGGATAGCATTTAAACACATGCCTAAATTAAGCACTTGCTTAAGCCCTCCTTTGTAAGTCAAGACTTAAGCGTGGACCATTCAGTGTCACTATTTGTTAACTGTAGAGCTTACATGTTTGAGAGTTTAGAAGGTTTGCAATAAGCAAGCAGACACAGGTTTGATAAGTGTAGTTGCTGTGAGTGTGCTTTTTCAGGTAGTCCTCTTATTCCCATGTGCATTGCGTGAGTCCTAGGGTTGTTAGTTGTAGCTGTGTAGCAGACTCTCTCTATGCCTGAAGACGGGTGTTTGTGCCCAAAAGCATACAAAGAACAATTTTTAAAACTATTTAGTTGGTCTAATAAAAGACATCATGTCTAGCCAAAGAACCATGTCTACCTTGCATCAATCCTGCAATTTTTGGATTACCTACTCTTAAAGCCATTTAGGAGACAGCTAACGTTCATCTTGTTTACTGACAGAAACTTGTTTTGAAGCTGCACTTCCTTGCTTCTCAAAATATTTATAACCCATACATTTTATTGTTTTTCCTCATTTTAGTTTTTGGTTGTTGATTTTTTTCCTAGGTGGCAGAATCAGATGATAACAAAGCTGAATCAATGGGAACATTAAAACGATTGCAGAAATTGGTGAGAAACAAAAAAGCCAATGCCCAGAGTTTGGATGATGCCAAACATGTTTTGATACCTCTCAGTAAGTAAAGCACCATTTTAACATACCCCTCTACATCTGGACAGAGCCTTTTTAATCAAGAAAGCTGTAACTCTGCTTAGCTCTAGTCCTTTGTTCAAAGTCTAGATGTTCTTCACAACACCTGAACACCCCAGCAAATGTCACTGTAATGCTCTTACTTCATAAATAAATCTGATAGTGTGAAAATTGTTCTCCAGGGAATTAGTTTGTAATAAATGCAAATTCTTGCAATTTTGGAGTGCTTAATATTAAATATTTAATAATAAATAGTAAGATTTCACACTTACTCTTTCACCTTAGGGGCTGTTGCATTTTTATTATAATTCCCAGTTCTGTCCCACATGAAAAAGACAAAATGCACAGATTCAAAGGTGATTTTTAATGTCAGCCCTTGCCTTAGTAATAGTTCAAGGCTCTGGAGAGCACAGCAATCTGTAATACATAAAACAGCTCTAAAAAACAAGGTATTCCAAAGTACTCTGGGCATTTGAATGTGCCTCCATGAGTTAACTGGTCTGATTATGCAGCAGTTCCTTGTCTGAACTCATTTTGCTGGCATTAGTTTAACAGTGAGCATTCATTGTATTTTGTATTCATGTATATGATTATTTTTTAGCTAATCCCAACAAAATGAGTTTGACTACCAAATAAGCAGCTGGCCTAGCCAAAAGAATGATATAGTGGAAGCACACAGGAAGCTGAGTTAAGGAGATCAAGATTTCCAGTAGGTGGGTGAATTAGCATTTTTAGGAAAGTGCTCTGAATTCTGCCACTTAGCCTTTTTGTGAGTACAGTGGCATAACAATGCTTGCTAATGACGGTTTTGTTTTCAGTGTAGAAAATGCCATTATCATGCCCTGCAAAACAAGGAATATTCTCCAGGATTCAGGGAAAATAGCAAGAAATGTTATCAAGTGGACAATATATTCTGCTTTTGATTTTACTGTTTAATAATAGGTCTTTCTGGGTGCATCTACATGAGACGCTATGGCGCAGTAGCTCATTGCTACCATGCAGTAGTGTTTCCAGGCATTAGCCATGTGGCAGTGCTACTGCACAGTAGTAACAAGTTACTGTGCAGTAGCATTGAGCAAAAAAAACATGTGGCGATGGTACTGCAGTCATTTAGTACTTCCTTATGCATTAACAAATGCACAGTCCACTGCTTGTGTAGATGCAGCCTCTATGTCTCTAATTAGTTTCTATCTCTCTAATTAGTGCCCTATATATAAAGATGATATACCTGTGTTCTGAGGTGGTGTTTGAATTGGACAGTAAACCTGTTGAAAGCCTTTAAGTAAAGGTCAGATCAGCCAGGGGAATGACATGGTAGGTATCTGCTACATGCCACCAAAGCAGGAGAAGGTGGAAGAGGCCTTCTCTAATAATTGATGGATGTTTTCACAGGAACTTTTTTCATAGGGGACTTTTTTTTTACAAGGTTTTTTTGATGGGAGGGCAACACAGCAGTGCAGAATCAGTCCAGAAATGTCTTGGGTTGTGATGGGGATAACTTGTTGATACAGAAGGTAGAGATGACAACTAGGGAGAAAGCACTTATTGACTTGCAGCTTACAAACAGGAAGGAATTGATTAAAATATAAGTACCTTGGGTAAACAGTGGGTGTGTCTACATGAGATACTTTACTTGAGATTAGAGTAAATTACTGTGCAGTAAACATCACTGTCTACATGTGCAGATGCTTACTGTACAGTAATTTGCTCTAAGCTTGAGTAAATTTTCTACCTATAAATACAAGTAGCAGATTTACTCAGGAGTACTTACTGTGCAGTATGGCATGTGTAGATGGGTGACCAGAAACAAATTTACTCCTGGTCAGCCAGCAGCAGGGGGCAGGAGATTGCTCCCTGCCCCCAGGAGCTGCTTGCTGCTGGCTGGGGGGGGTGGTCTCCACCACCAGGACTTGGGTGGGGACAATGCCCCCCTGCCCAGAAAGTAGGGAGCTCCTACCCCCTGCTCCATGATCACAGAGCGGAGGCTGGGAGTTGATTGTCCCCAGGCCCTCTGTGTTTGCAGAGTGAGGGTGGGAACAGGCTGGGAGCAATTGCAGAGCTGGGGGCTGGGAACAATCATCTCCCAGCCCCTGCTCCACAATCGTGGAGTGGGGACTGGGAGAAACATACCAGGGCTAGCCAGGAACTGTCTTGGTCAGAGCTATTGAGACATGAGGCTTAGAAAGAGCTGCATGGGAGAAGCAGGTCCAGCCCCCTGCTCCAATCGACCAGTGGGGCAGTTAGTAGTGAGCCCCTGGTTGGGCAGGAATTCTCTGCCCAACCTGGGGCTCACTGCTAGCTGCCTCAATGGTAGATCAGGACAGGGGGTTGGGACCTGCCCCTTCCCTGCAGCTCTTTCCAAGCTCCCTGCCCCAAGTTGGGGAGCTGGGGCAGGATATTGCCCTCTCCTGGGCTCTGGTGGTGAAGCCCACTCTGGCAGTGGGCAACTACTGGGGGCAGGAAGCAATCTCCAAGCCTCTGCCAGGAGATAGCTGTTTCCTGGCCCTATGCTGCCTGCCAGCCCTTGTTCTAGCACCCAGGTGGAGACTATAGCTCCCCCTGGCTGCTTCAGGGGGCCGGTGCTGGACTGGAGGGGGAGGGGATAGACTGCTGCCAGGAGCAGCAAATCTGCTCCTGCATCCCTGCACATGTAGATGCCTGCTCAGGGTGGGTTTACTTTGCAGTAATTTACTCTAGAGTAAGCCTACCACACAGCAAGCTATACAAAAGTGATGGGAAAATGGGAAGTGCAACAGGAAACCAGCCTAGTTATCTTTTTGATGAGTTGCAACTCAGAAACGGAACCCTATAAAAAGTGGATACATGGTCATATTACTAGGGAAAAGTATAAGAAGAGCATCACACGGCCATGCAGGGAGGAAAATTAGGAAGGCCAAGACACTATCTGAGATGCAACTGGCAAGAATCATAAAAGACAATATAAAGGGAGTCTACAAGTGTGTCAAGAATATGATGAAGATCAGAAACCATTGGGCCCTTACAGGTTGCAGAAGGCAATGTAGTTATAGGTGCTGCATAGAAGGCTGAAGCATTTAAAGCCTTTTTTACACCAGCCTTCAGAACTAGGGGCAGCTCCCAGAAGATGAGTACACTTGGCAGCAAAGATAGGGAAGTGGACAAACAGCTTAAGGTAGTAGAAGAATAAGTTAGTAATTAGTTAGAGAAGCTAAGCAATTAGCTAAGGTAATGTCAGAGCCATTGGCTGTCCCCTTGAAGAACTCGTATAGGTCAGATGAGGTCCTGGATTAGTGGCAAATGGAAAATATAGTGCCCATCTTTAAGAAACAAGAACAGGATCCTTAAAGTTACAAAATTTGAGGCTGACCTCCAGAACAGCCAGACTGACCTTGATACTTCAAAAGATCATGGAGCAGGTCCTCAAAAGAAACCTTTTGTGAGGCAGCTAAAGGAGAACAAGGTGATCAGGAATAGCCAGCATGGATTCACCAAGTGCAAGTCATGCCTGACCAACCTGATTTCCTTCTATGATAAGGTGAAAGGCTCTGTGGATGTGATATACTTTGTCTTCAGTTGTGCTTCCAGTGCTGTCTCCCATGACGTACTTATTAATAAACTGAGAAAACAGGCTAGATAAAAGTACTTTAAGGTGGGTACATAAATAGTTGGATCATCTTGCTCAATGAATAGTCATCAATGGCTCAATTTCTAGTTGGGAGGAGGTATCTAGAGGGGTTTCCAAGGGATCTGTCATAGCTCCACTATTGTTCAACATCTTC